TTATGGTTTAGGGTTAGAATACTGGAAAAAAATGAAAAAAGAAATGACCATTGAGGGTTTAGGGGCAGAATAATGGAAAATCAGATGGACATCAAGATGGAAAAGACATGGAAACGGTTTCGAGTTGTGTGATGCAACACCCTCTGCCTTGCTGGATGAGCCAGGAAGTCCTCTCAGCCCTCAGTTCTTCTAGGGCTCTGTATGGCAGGGGTTGAAAAATTCTGTGTGCCCGGAGCGCGAGCCTCATAGCTCTAGCCTATCTAGGCCCCTGAACCCTTTTTCCGGAGGCACTAGCTTCAGGCCGTTCAGGGGCCTAAACCCCTAAACCCTAAACCCCTAAAAGCTCGAGGCCGGCAGATCTCAAGTTGGGCTACCTGGTTCCCTTTACTGAGTGCTTAGTTAGTATAATGAGGACACCCCGGAATTACTTACAGTATATCCATATTCGGGTAACTTCAGTTAATATAATAGGGACACCCTCTAATTGGTTACAATATATCCATTCTCAGGGTAACTTAAGTTAGTATAACAAGGACACCCTGTAATTAGTAACGATATATCCATAGTAGGGTAACTTAAGTTTACTTCCTCAACGGCAACCCAGTTTAGCGCTCTGCAAACTGTTTGCAACCCAGGCTCCTTCCATATCCTTCCGATGGTTTTGTTGGGGTTTAGGGTTTAGGGTTTAGGGTTTAGGGTTTAGGGTTTAGGGTTTAGGGGGGAACTAAGGTTTTTGGGGTATAGGGCAATTGACCGACGTTTGCGCATCTGGACTTGCTGACAGAATGCAACTATTGTAGATTTGCCTAGCGTGGGTGCTAAAAGACTGCCTGGAATTCTGAACTCAACTGCAAGAACGGGACCCGATTCTGCACACACTTAAAAGCAGATTCAGTATCTACGTTCACCAGCTGCAAACACCACCAACGCTCTTTCCTCCTACATATCGGACATGCGGGCATGAACCTCGGTATCTTCAGAAGGCAAAACCCAGAGAAAACCAGCTAAGCCGCCATGAACTTGTGAGACAGCTTCTCTGCGCCAACCTGTGAGGAAACATGTGTACCTTGGCTTAGGTTTAGTCCCTAACCACGTCTCGTGACGACAAGGGACAATGGTGATCATATCGGGTCCCTTGTATATTGCGAATGTACCAGTATTTCTGGGTGGGAGCCCAACGTAATATGTGACCTGACAGGCCAAAGGCTTCACCAAGACCCAATGCTCACATTCGGTGGTTGCCATAAACAAGGGACTCCAAACAGACCCTAGAAAACAATAATCCTTGTTGCCAGGACCTCCCAAAAAACAGCAATCTTAATTCTGGAAACCCTTTCTGAAATCTTACACCTTGGCAAGCTCGCTTCCCTCCAGCCGGCGCCTCTCCCCGCCGACGATTGTCATCGTTAATCACAAGTGGGGGCTTCCGGATCCCTGTAATAAGGATTGTAGTAGGTCTTTGGTGGGGTCCCCCTATTTCAACCACATATTGCCTTCCAACCGCCCAGAAGGCCTAGAGCGCCCTTTCTGAAAGCACAAGCCCTAAACCCTAAACCCTATACAACCTCATTATGATAGTTTCCATTTGATTTTCCAGGATCTCCCTAAACCCTAAACCCTCAAGCCCTAAACCCTAAGCCCTAAAGCCCTAAACCCTAGAGCCCCAGACCCCAAACCCTAAGCCCTAAACCCTCAACCCTAAAGCCCTTGTAGGAGCCACAAACAGGTCCTTGGAGTTGCTTTGCAGCTTCTGCTCATCCCGTCCTTGAAACATGGAGCACAAAACTCTCCCAGTCACCATCCACCCGAACCCTAAACCCTAAACCCTTTCCAACAGGCTTTCTGAGTCCGCCCGGTAGCTGGAGCGCTGAGCAAAGCCCCAAACCCTAAACCGTAAACCCTTATCCGAAGGGGTAAGAAGATTCAGAGCTAAGCTTGGGCTAAGGCTCATAAAATGATAGGATAAGCCTGATGTTCTAGGTGGACCTCCCACCCTGTACTGGTGGCTATAAGGGACAGTAAGGCTTATATCAGGGTCCTACTATATTCCTAAAATATCACTATCACAGGTTGGGGGGTCCTCCTAACTGCTGTTGCTGGGTCGCAACGGGACAAAGCATGGCAAGAGCGCTGTTTTGCCTTAGTGGCTACAAAACTCCGAGGCGCATCTGCGCACATCCCCACCTCCCGACAAAGACCAGTTGCTACTCCACAGCCAAAGCATGAAATGGCAACACCCTGATTTTAGGGCTTAGGGCCTGCCACATTGGATCACCTCAGCCCTGAATGCGAAGGCCTAGAATACGGCCTGGAAAGTCAAATCGCACAACTCGATCAAAAAAAAACTTTCATTTCATCAGAGGCAAGCGGCCTCTGTTCATGGCCTGGGCTGACACACTCCAGTATGGGATTCTACCTTAAGTTTTGGTGTGTGTATATATATATAGAGAGAGAGAGAGAGAGATTGACTATAGGTACTTGGAGCGTTATGGGGACTTAGTAAGTAAGGTAGTAGTAGGGATAACTAGGGTTACTTAACCTGCTTACCAAGTCCTCCTGACCCTCCAAGTAATACTAATAAGGACCCTTTAGAGCTCTTCACCTTTGGGGGCTGACCATGAACGCTGGCTTGCGCTTACGGGTGTGGAACGGAAGTGGAAGGTAAAAAATAGTAGGTACTATTAGGAAAGATTTGTTAGAGAAACATAGGCGCTAATACAAACGGTTATGATATATGGAGATAAACGTACTATCATTGAGTGTTATAGACGAAAACAGATGGTATCAAAAAGAGTTATAGACGAACGCAAGTACCCGATCATATAGGAATATAGGTACCATCATAAACGATTACATACGGATTGTAATAGGGATAGACTCCGCATTATGGGTGAGTTTGGGTCTTTTTGAAGACCGCTGCGTCCTGTCGCGAATCTGGGGATTCCCCCAAACATGCGAAAACAAAATACAAATGCTAGAATCCTTTCTAGCGGTTCCCAAAACAAGGGCCACAATTTTTTGGAATCCCCACATCTTCTGACTAGGACTGCATTGCCTCTTGGATCCAAGGCTTTGTTTTCTGAGTTGCTGTTAATGAACTTATTTGAAGTTACCATAATATGAGTACATATATTTGTGTATAGGTTACTATAATCGTGGGTATATGGGTTTTAGGGCTTAAGTTACCATAGTGTGTGCATACAATAAAAGATAGGGCTTCCTTTTCATGGTAATTTAGTTTAAGTTCCTTAGCAGCAGCCCAGTTTTGGCTTCCCTCTGGGTAAGGAGATACAGCAGCGCCTGTCGCATTGCTACGTTCTTACAGCCTCCTTCGCGTGGACTCACAAGCGCAAGACACAATATCCCAAGTAAAGGACATACCTGGCACTTTCCTTAAATAGTGGACCCCAAAAAACTATAGTCCTTATTATGTTTCAGGCTTAGGGTTTACGGGTTTAGGATTCAGGGCTTACGGCTCGGGATGGGCCCTGGGGTGGTACCTCTTCCTTCTTACCTTGGGCCGCCTCTACTGCACAACCATATGAGCCATAGTCTAAACTCCTGAAAGGGGGGATATTGGGGATTATGACTACTAGGGGGGATATTAACGGGGATACTAGGAGGTTAGACCATAGCTCACATGGCGGGCTTGCCTTCGGAACCAGAAAGGGTTGAAGTAGATGAATACACATGGTCTTTCATGAGGCCCCCAAATTCTGGAAACCCTCATAACTTAACGTCTTTAACCGGTCTGCCCTCCCAAACTGACTTTACATGTATACACGATAATAAGAAGATTTCGGTAAACTCACCCCCCCTCCCCCCAAATTAGGCCCCTACTACTATCATATGACTGTGGTCCTGGTGTTACCAAAGTCACCTTATTTAACAAGACATGAGGTAGTTTGTTAACATAGGGGGACCTCAATATAGACCCTAAAATGCTAGAGTCCTGATAGTAGGGACCCCCAAAATGGTACCCCCTAATTTGGGGAACCCTAAACCCTACAAATCCCCATACCCCTTTATCAGGCCCCATATAACCCCTGTAACCTTTCTTGAAAATGTGCCCCCAAGTTTGGAAAATTGCCATCCTAATCCCCGAACCCTAAACCCTGAACCCTAAACCCCAAACCCTAATCCCCAAACCCTAAACCCTGAACCCTAAACTCTAATAGGTGAATTAAACCAACCTCTGGGGCAGCAGCCGTTCGCGTCAGGGACGCCTCAGAGGCTAAGGACTTGGACTCTCGGGCTTACTTTTAAGGGTCTTTAAGGTTTTTAGGGCTTTGAATGTGTTTTCTGGTTTTTGATGGTTTTTGTGTTTTTAATGTATTTTCGGGTTCAGGGTTTAGCATTTTAGGGTAAAGTGCCCACATATACGGGCTATGGAGATACGTTCCCCCAAGAGGGGAGAATCAAATGGAAAAAAAGGAGGACCCCCATGTACCCCAGTATAATATCATCTATATTCAAATTACCCCCAAAATGACCCCTAATGTCTGGAAGCCCCGACATGTGTCCATTCTAACCTCTTCAGGCACCAAGCGCTTGGCATGTAGCGTAGCTTGGAGTGATACATCTTCGGCTGCTGCAAATACAATACACGGTATCTAAACTCGGGAGAGGCTCGCATCTTGACAGACAAGATGCCCCTTATCAGCAGACCTTTGGGAACAGTTAGAACTGCATTGTAAATGTTCACAATCATAAAACATACCATCGCTCAGCAATTTGCATGCGAGATGGTAGGTGGACGTAGCTGGACGCAGAGGTGGGAGGTTGCTATGCTCATCGTCAGAATCAGCTTCAGTTGCTGGACTTTTGGCTGCTCGTCGTCTCGGAGTGAAGCGCGACAAATTTTCTTGGTAAGACCAGCAAAAACGGTTCTTAATCGTGACCTCTCCTAACGAACTGCTTCAACTCTGACTTCGAAGGTGCAGTTGGAAACATTATTGATTGGTTCTGGGCAGTATGTTTCGGAGGTGCAGCACGGGCACTGAGTCGTCCAACCGCTTCACTGAGCCTCGGCCTTCAAACAGCAGGAGATTACAGCTTCTGCATGCTTGAAGGGTTATTGCACTTATGGTTGCGTCTAAGGGGCTGCCTGAAACTTGCAGCAGGCATAGCTACAGCTTTTGTCGCTAGCGCCGGTAGGGGTGGCAGGTTGCCATGAGCTTGAGGACAAGCAAATGAGAATTAGCTGGCTGATCGTTGCATTCAATTTCGGGTACACCTTCGGATGCTCCAAATCGCCGGAGACTTTGATCTCCGGACGCCCAAGCATTGTACGAACATGAGCTTTCTGTACTATGTACACGCGCAGCCTTCCTCAAACCACAGATCAAGCTGGAGGATACAGAACCCCCCAAGCAAAAACCAAACGCACTCCCTGAAGGCCTAGGAGACGCAGACCAGGCCTTGCAAAGCAGCCGACTCTTTGAGAGATGCCAGGGTCTGAATGACCTGGATACGGATACGCGACGTGCAGACCAAGGACTTTTCATCAGGAGCAAACACGTCTGTCTAACAAGAAAAGCCCCCCACTGTCTAATAACTAGCATCATGTTCCTATGTGACGGCGGCATGGCCGGGGATGTATGCATATATATATATATACACATATGAAGAGTTGGGGGGCTGCTTGTTAGCGGAGGGATAACGTGGGAGCTTGAGGAGTCATGCTCGAGATAACCCAGAACCTGTGGTTGCGGTGCACCATATTAGGTACGGATCTCCACGATCGTCTCTATGTTTGCCAGGCTGTGTGTGTGCATTGCCCGGGGCAAACGAGACTAGCCTGGTAGCGCATCATGGCCAGTCACTGCCGAAACGAAAGGTCTAAAAAGCTCCATGTGGCCAAAACCCTGAGAACGCGAAAGTTGATTTCAAAACCTGAAGCCCAAGCCCCAAACCCCTATTCCCGAGCCTTTGCTTTTAGTCTTCAACCTCCGAATCTAGGGAAGGTTTGGGGGCCCTATAAGACTTAAATCTTCATGGCTTTACAAGGACCATATAGAGATTCAGGGTAGTGAAAAAATTGAAATCATTTTTCTCACCTACCTCTGTGAAGCTGAAGCCCCCCAAGTTCAGGGTAATTTAGAATAATTTCAACTCCCAATCTAAGGCTACGTTGGTACTACTCCCTATATAAACCACCATTCAGGGTGAGGTGGGGTGAGGTCGCTTTAAATTGCCCAAATTGCCTCCAAGGTCTGGGAGTTCTTCGGCCCAGCTGTCTTGGACAGGAGCCTTGTGGCTAGCAAGGATTTTGGGGTTTAGGGGCATCTGAGCTATAAACTAACCTTCTAGTATCCACCTTAATACCCCTAAGGTTTAGGGTTTAGGGTCTAAACTCCGAGTATCACCCTTAATTAATGCCCTACAGTTTAGGGCTTAGGGCTTAGGGTCTACACTCCTAGTATCCCCCTTAATAATCCCTATAATACTCCCTTATATAATTCCCCATAAAAGCACCCTTTCAGGAGTCTAGACTCTACCTCACTTGGCTTCGGAGCTTTGGAATTCAGCGGGGGTTACCCTTGGGCTCCAGGGCAAGATCAGCCCCATCTGTAAGCTTGAAGACTTGGAGGCTTGCTACCTTGGTCTGTAAAAGGACGTGAATAGGGACCGCATAATTCACCCAAATACAGGAACAGAATAGGAGTATGCCTACCGGCCTACCAGGGTCCTTTTCGTCTGGTCTGTTCCTACTACATCTTGAGGTTCCCTGTTTGGGGTTCACATTGCAGTCCTTTCGCTCTTCTTCCGGAAGTGCAAAAAAGACAAGCAAGTCTGTGGAGGGATCTAAGATCATCAGTCTTACTTCCGCTTTCTGGCGCCACTCACGTTTGTACCAACACAAGACCCTTAACCCCGGAGGCCTAAACACAGAACCTTGAGCCTTAAAACTTTAAACCCTGAGCCCTGAACCCTAAATCTTAAGCCCCAACCTTGAAACTTCAGAAACCCTACGACCCTCAGACCTAAGCTCCAAACCCGACATCTAACCCAAGTGTCCATTTCATGTTCCATGTTCTTTTCTAAAATGATTCCGCATTATTAGGGATAATCTTGGGTATGATATCCCTTAGTAGAAAACGACAAGCTCCCCACAGGTGCTCAACTGAGGGGTTCTTAGTAGGGTAAATAGGCAATGCAATCCCTCATATAATCCCTATATAATATATTGCCTTAATCCTACCCTAAACCCTAAACCCTAATAAATCCCTATGTAATACATTCCCGTATTCCCTACCCTAGACCCTAAACTAGCTAATCATACAGTCCCTTGTTCCCCACTAAGAACCAGAAAGCAAGGCTGAGGCTTCCGCTCCACGACCTGCTCAAGCTCTCGCACTGCCTATGCCGGAGAGACGAACACACCAAACTCATGGGTTCCCCTACTACCCTGTTTAGGGTTCCCCTACTACCCCTACATGAAGGGTTTAGGGTTCCCCTACTACCCCCCTCTATACTATCCCCCCCTAGGTTCCCCCCTTTGTTAAGGTTATTTACGGATAGATTACAGTGAATTAAAGGGGAACTTTGGGTGGGGAGTATAGACGGTGTGGTAGGGAACCTATGACAAACGACAGGTCTCACTGGGGATTAGTCAGGCATAAGGGGATATACTATAGGGTTTAGGCTTGAGGGCTGAGGGTCTAGGGTTTGCAGGGAATAAGGAATATAGTAGATGGGGATTATATAGGGATTGTATTCCCTTATTCCCCCTAAGAACCAGTAAGACAGTGTAAGGTTTAGGGACCGTGCGGTTAGGTTTTGGATTTACGGTTTGGGAGGTTAAGGGCTTGGGTGGCTGATAGTTTCCATTATCCCTAGACAACCCTAATATAACCCAATATATGCCCTATATAACCCCTATATAATCCCTATATATACCCTATATAATCCCTATATAATCCCTATAATCCCTGTAGTTTCCATTTTCTTTTCCATTATCCCAGGTTTAGGGGACTCGGGATCCTATGGCTAAAGTGTCAAGATGGACTGGTTGGGGGTCAAGGGTTATGTCTCCGGAGCACTGTGAGCAAAAATGACGGTTGCAAGCAAAGCCTGCGATTTGGATGGCTAGAACTAGGGACCCTAAAACCTAAACCTAGTAGGAACTAGCTGCTGCGGAGGCATGCGGGCATTCCACCTTCAACTGAGGTCTGGGATGCGCAGAAATATGCAAAACATTGAGCTTCCACTTGAATAATATTACCATTACGAAATACCCAATGTTGAGCGGTGCAGGGAGGCACCACTGACATCCCCACTTAGATCTTGACGTTTGGAAAGGCTACCCGGGCAAGAATAGTTGCTAAAGACTGAAGTTCGTGCTCAGCGAGTCGTCTTAGGGTTTAGGCTTTAGGCTTAGGAGCTCAAAATTTCGAACCTTCTCCGAACTACTTCCAAGGTTCTAGCCACTGCTGGCTATCAAAGGTTCAAAAAGGTCCAAGTGCACTTGACTGACTTCGCGCGCATAAACAGGGCTTTGTTTTGGCGAGTTTGTGAACTCGAGGAGGCTGGATCTGATGCAATAAGGTCATCTTGATAGTTCTGGCGGTAGTGGCAGTGGTTACTAGCAGCAGTAGTAGTAGTAGTAGTAGTAGTAGTAGCAGCACTAGTAGTAGCAGAAAGTAGTAGTAGTAGCAGTAGTAGTAGTAGTACTAGTACTAGTACGAGTACTACTATGAGCAGTAGGTAGAGGAATCTAAACCCTAAACCCTTAGCAGTAGCAACACCTGACTGCCTGGTCAAGCTCGCCAAGAGATGCCAGCACTTTGCCCAACCTAGGCACTCCAAGCCAGCTGCCTAGGGTTTAGGGGTGGATTTTGTGGGATTATATGACGGTTCTGTTAGGACTATATAGGGCTTAAGGAGAAATTTACCAAAGATGAAATATCAGCCAGAAAGCACATGAAAAATGACATGGAAACTTGGGCTATGCGAATGGGTTTGCAGGGATGAATGCCCTCCCCAGATAAGGAACCTCCCAACCCTCACTAAAACCCCCCCAAAAGATAGTACCATCATATGTTTAGCGGAATATTTATGGTTCAGGGGTGGTTGGCTATTATTAGAGAAGGTGCTTAGGGGTTAAGGGCTTGCCACTTGCATGGCTCAGGGGCATCGCAACGCATATGGTGGCTCTGGTTGGCTAAAGAAGCAAAAATGACGGAGGCACTCAAAACTCAAATAAAGCAGTTTATTAGCTAACCAAGGCATGCAGTCAAACTACACACTGGGAAGAACAACATGGGATGCAAGTAAGCTCAACACACGGAAAAACTGCAAGTGCATTTTTCCTTCACCGGCGCACTGCCAGCAGAGAACATTTAGGGTCGACGGCCTACCCCGGGCTTTGGGTAACCCGACACTGAAGATCAGAAGCGTTTGCAGTCATGGAGAGGGTGTTTTGGGGGGTCTGTGAGGTAAAGGGCATCATAGCACGGGGTATAATACACCGAGTATACAACATAACAGAAAGCCACCTTTGGAAACTCCCAAGGCGGTAAATGGCCGCACAACAGGAAGAAGAACGAGGCTGAGGATGCTGACCATATCTGTCGCAACAATGTGCACCGGACTCGAAACCATGCTAGTCTCCGCCCAGGGAAGAACACGAAGAAGCCTCGTCCTGATTGGCTACTTAACCTGAACTCAGCTTGTGTAACGCCTGCAGCAAGTGCAGCGGAAGATATGGATTACAAGAAACTGTGGTGCCTTCTCCTCTGCCACAGGCAAAACAAGCCCTCTGACGTTTCAGACTTTTTTTCGGAAATCACTGGTCTCACTTAGGGCTTCCCAGAAAAAAACAAGCACCGCACATTCCGAAGTTGTAGGGGCCCTGATGTGAGAAAACATCAGTGTTGGCGGCTCTGTTGGTACTACAAGGGCTGCATGACCAAAGCAGAAAAAATACAATCATTCCCAATGTAGAATGTATTTAGGGTCATGCAAGATTTGTTGTGTCAACAAGCTCGTTTCCAGCTTCCATTTCATGTTCCATCTTCTTTCAATTTGATTCTCCATCATCGGGGAAAGGGATCATCTTCGACACCCTATATGATCCCTATATAACCCCTACATGCACTTTGAAGGGGCTTATGTGACCCAAAAATGAAAATTTCCCACAATCAGGGGACCCAATGTCGACCCCGAAATACTATAATCCTTATCATGCGGACGGGCACAAGGTACCCCTAATTTTGGGAAACCCTTAACACTACAAACCTCTATACCCTTTTGTAAGCCCCTACATACCCCCCGCAACCCCCTTTAAAGGCCTAACCCTAAACCCTCCCTAAACCCTAAATCCTAAACCCTAAACCCTAAACCCTATATTCTATCTACCTAAAGGGAAATATAACCCTCGACCCTTTCCGACGTAACTCTCGAACCTCGCCCCGTGCAGTCAGGGAGCAGTTCTTGGCTAGCGATCGTCTCATTGTGATCAAGGCCAAGCCTGAAGGAATCATTGGAACTATAGAGGTTGTCATAGGGGTTATATAGGTTAACTCGGTTTAGGGTGTTAGAATATATTGGGGCGATATAGGGTTTATGAAGGGGTTGTATATGGGTATTATTTAGGGTTAGAAAGAGGCTTAGAGGGGTATTACCCCAATAATGAAGAACCAACTGAACAAGAAAATTGATGAAATAGGAGTTGAGAATACTTTACAGCTCTAGGGTTTAGGGGCTGGGTAGGCGCATTACGAAACACCAGTGTCATTTGTGATGGCAACTGTACGAGGGCTATGGATTTTACCTGGTTGCAGCTTGGCGTTTTGCCTACCTACATCAAGCAAACTTTGCAAAAGCTTTACGAGCCCCCCCCACGCTGCTATGCACAACGCTCATCAGCCAAAGAAGCTGTCTAGTCTAGCTATACAGGGATTCTACGGGATATATTGGGATGATATAAGGTTTATATACGGACATTATAGCATGGGGTTATATGTGTAAAATATGGGGATCATAGAAGCCAGCCCTCAAAGAAAAGATAAAGCACTCCGTGAGCAATTGCAGCCAAAGAGGCAGTTGCTGCATGTCCTGGCTCACAGAAAATTTTCACATGGTCCCAGACCCCAGCATCTGAAGGCTTATGTACACGTATGCTTTTGCAGGCCTTGGTTCTTGACTTGAGAACCTACTGCGGGGCTGCCTTTGCGGGAGCTCTGGATCTAGGTCTGCATGCTAGCCCCAAAGCAAACCTTGCAACTAACGCGATGAAACACTCTCACAAAAGCGGAAGTAAACTCAGTAAACACTCTGAAGACCTGGCTTTGTGCGCGCTTGAAGAGTCTCGGTTGATACGCATAAGAAGAACAGCTAAGTCTAAGCTGTCCAAAAATGCTTGTGGAACAGGACAAGCTTACGATTGAGAACTGCATTGGAGCCCAGCCTACACTTCCTAAACGTTTCCGTGTCCGAGGCGGCTCAAGACCTCATCCAGCAGCACTATAAACCAGCAAAGCCGGGAGTGGGGATCGCATCAGGGATCTCACGGGCATGGATTCCATTAGCCCTTAGCACTGGGGGATCAAGGATGTACCGCAAGCATCCCGCAGAAAGCTCAAAGCGGCTAAAGAACTTCCTGCACATGCAGCCGGCCGGGTTTTTCAAGGGCACAATGATTCACATGGGATCTAGATTAAGGCCAAGAAACCTTAACCCCAAGTTCGCACAAAATTTTGCAGTGACCTCCCAGAATGACGCGGCAAAGATGGAGACGTTCAACCACAAAGTTTCCCCCTCAACACATCACTTGCCCATGGAACGTCGTGCCTTCTTGGCCTCCTGGAGCCTCGGATGTCTGGCAATTTTCATACAAATGGCACCCGACTCATCAGGGCGAGCGTTGTCACTACTTCGTGATTTCACGCCAACATCAGTATCTTGGGAGCAGCTGACCCCAAGAAGCACATCATCAACATCAAAGAACTGCCCCCAACTGCCTCCAAATCTGCTACACAGCTGCTGGCCTAATGCTGACAATATCCAACGCCAGCTGCTTTTCAGTGGCAGTCTCAGCCCGCAAACCCAAAGAATGTGCAGTCGGAGGTTGATGTGCTGACGACCATCAAACAACGTGAAAATGCTCCTGCCCGAAGCCCTGGATTCAGAAACATAGAAATAAATCAAGGATTTGAAGCCTGATCTGAAAGTCCCAGAAGGGGCCTTGCAGCGTTGACCACAAAACTCACCGGGAGGCCCTTCTGAACCCACTGTGAAGCCACTCTTGAATTTCAGACCTGCACATCTTTTTGCGAAGGAGAAACCAAAAAAATTGTCAGCCCGCATAAAAAAAGCCTTCCAACCTCCTGACGGTCTTGAGAGCCGAAAGGAATGCTCCTCAAATCCCCTAAAGCCCCTAGATAAGAAACCTTGATCCCTAAACCCTCATCTTTTTTTGCCTCTGGGCTTGCATAAACCCTCATCTCTAAACGAGTGGAGTCTTGTCTCTACCCTACTGTTTTTTGTGGTTCTTCCCTTATGTGGTTGTTCTGCCTTGTTTTCCTTTTGGGAGGATGCTCCACGCCAGAGCTTGATTTTGAGCAAAAGTGTGAGGAAGCTCCGCGCGAGAGCACAATTACAATGCAGTACGAATAGGAAATAGAATAGCAGCGGCCATCATAGTAATAGTAATAGGAAGAACAATTCTAATTAACGCTAAAGTAATAGCCACAGCAAGTCATAGCAGTAACAATGTTAATAGCAATAATATCAATAACAATAATAATCAATCACAAGAGTTAAAAAAAAAATAATGGCAGCAACGATCATCAAAGCAATAATAGTCATAGCCTTCGTTCGTTCCTTCCGCCCTCCTTCCTTCTGAGAGGGAAGTGGGCCAGGGCACCAGGAGACCAATAACAACAAGAACTTCCCCCCCAACAAACACATAAAAACAAATAGTGCATAAAAGAATATGCCCTTCTCTTTGAACCCTAGACCCACCCACAAAGTACAGTTCATCCTGAACTGAACCCTATAGTATATACCCCGTATACCCCAGGTTCCATTTCATGTTCCATTCGCTTTTCTGTTTGATTCACCGTTATTCGGGGTAGCATCCACCCTAAAACCTATTTAGTCACCCTAAACCCTGAATCCTAAACCCTGAACCCTAAACCCTAAACCCTAGGCCCTGAACCCGAAACCCTAAACACTGAACCCTAAGCCCTGAACCGTGAGCCCCCTGTAGCAACTCTTAACGCCTCCAAGGTGCAATGCCTGGGCCTCGGCCTGCTGCTGCTCCGAGCCCAGGTCACGCAGGTACCTGTGGATCCCCGCAATTACCCCATGGCACTGATGTGAAGGGTTTAAGGGTTTACGGGTTTAGGGTTTAGGGATAATGATGTTTAAGGTTTAAGAGTTTAGAGTTTAGGGTTTATGCTTTAGGGGTCCCTTTAAAGGGGATATAGGGGCTATATGGGGAATATATATGGTTATGTACGGATGGTGGGCTGGATTCATATTTTTGGACCCTGGGGTTACTAAGAGGCTACGTCACCTACTCATGAAAGGCCAAAATGGAGGTACCACGGACTTATATACAAAGGGGAAACATAACTCATAGGTCCTTCAAGGTACAGTATTCCCATTAGAAATGCCCGTCAAGGGCCCCTTCAAAGGGGATATTGATGAAATAGAGGTATAGCGGAATATGTGAGATCGAGGGTTTCAATCAATTGGGGTTGACTCTTTAGGGGCTCGCCATAACAAGGGTTGTAATTGATATGTTGGGCTATATTGGGGCCCCATTTTTGTTGGCAACCCCCATATGCCCCCCGTTCAAGCACCAGTGAGTTTCCCAAAGGCAGGAGTTTGAAGGTTTGAGGCTCAGGGAGGCAGATTGCAAAACAGGCTTCTGGGGTACCAGTGGGTGTGTTGGGGCTACGCATATGAAAGGAAAGGTCATATGACTTACATGCGGACATGATGCGGATCTTACAGAGTAGCCACATTACGCAGCAGTAGTGTCACGTGAAAGAGCGACCCCTGAGGGTGTTGCAACAACTTGCGCTTTTCTTCCTATCTGGCAGAACCTAGCGAAGGGAAGAGCGGTGCCGGTGGTGAGGTTCGGGGTGTGGGGTTCCGGGCTTGAGATAAGTAACGGATCTAGGTTTAAAGGTTCAGGGCCGGCACAATTGTTGTGAGGAGGTGCTTTCAACAAGACCCAAGTATCCAGGTATCGAGCACGTTGGGGCACACAATCATCTAACCCCCTCATCCTCCCCCCGCCTTTAGGTTCCCCTTGAGGGTGTAGTAGGGAAACATCATACAGCCCCTTCCCCGGCACACCCTGCGAGGATCCGCGCTGACCGCAAGGTGTCGATGTGGCTGGCTCCCAGCTTCTCCGCCCGGAGCCTTTGTAATGAAAAAGCTAGCTGCGCACGAGTCGGGGTTTTGAATGCGACCCTGCGTCTTACAATAAGAGTCTTATAGTTACTATGTCTGTCATGGCAGCAGCATTGCTCTACACCTTGGGGCTGGCCCGGAAGCTGTGCAAAATTTGCAGAGTGAGGAGCAGCAGAAGACTACCAAAGTACACTAGGAGAATCGGAGCCTGTACACCTGTACAAAAAGCTGCCAACTGCGAACCCTCGTCATAAGCCGAGACATCTCTGACTTAAGCCTCACTCGGGTTTAGGCTTAAGATCTTTACAAACGGCTGCCTCTGTCATGTCCTCAACCTGTTGGAAGCTCTGCGGAACCAGATCCCTCTAGACAGGCTAAGACCCTAAACCCTAAACCCTTTGAAACGGTCACTTAGTTACTGGGTCTTCACTGCCTTCGAATGGTCCAAGTAGAGCGACCCGAAGATGAGGGGTTTAGGGTTAAAGGTCTAGGGTGAGACCCTTTAAGATGCGAATTTCAGCATAACCTAGGAGGACCTCCCACCCTGGAATAGTGGCTATAATAGGAATAATAGGACCCGAATATTGTCTTGCCCCTTATAGCCACTATACAGAGTGGGGGGGTCCATCTCAAGCATAACTACTGCTCTTTCCTCATCTTCATGCGCGTAAGACTGTTCCCATGTACCTTGGGTCCTCGGGACTCCTTCGGCGGACCGGAGCACACTCAGCTTGTGAAGAAGTTATGACCCCATGCTTTAAAAATCATAGATAGCACCAGTGTTTTGTGACATGCCCAGGGTAGCTAGCTAAGAACCAGGCAGGCGTGCTACAAAACATTGGCGATCGGTGTGGCGATAGCCATGGCTTTTTAACCTTACTTACCTCGATTGGGCATAGGTATCGTCCTCGAATCGATGCTAAATCACAACAAACAAATATTAAACCGCATCGACATAGACCTGCTACCCACCGTCCAGAATCTGCCCTGCGGCCGCCCAGCCGCTCCCCTCCATCCACCCCCTTCAAGCCGGCCCCTCCGCTCCGTCCAGCCGCGCTGTCCTCAAATCCAGCCTCATCCTAATTACGACCTGTAAGTTCACATAGATTTTTGCCTGTAAGATACTAACATACATAATATTCTGTAATATACTAAAATATACTATAACATGCCATAATATAGTAAAGTATGTATCATGACTTGGGTCTCTCCTCAGCCAGGTTAAGAAAAGCATTTCCGGTGGCGGCCAGGCAACTGAAAGGCCTTTCGGGCCTGCTGCTCGGCCTGACTATCTGGGGGGAGTTGTCAAAGCGGTTTAGGGTTTAGGGTTTAGGGTTGCTCCCAACAAGATTTGGTGGTTTCCCATAATTAGGGGTACCATTTTTCGGGGTCCCCATAAAAATGAGTATTTTGGTGTCTATATTGGGGTCCCCTATTTTTGGAAACTACCAAGTGGCTCCGAACAAGTATGGGGTATTAGAAACTGGACCACAGTTTCTAACACACCCCATCTGTACGCAAAGGTTTAGGGAGACAGTGCTCATGCATAGTTCAAGGGATGTATGGGGTTTCTGTGGGGGCTCCTGCTAAGGGTTGCTGGGAGCTACACTCCCATTAAGCGACCTGACCCGCATGGGGATGGGTAGGCATCTATGAAGCCACCCCAAAACAAACTGCTTCCTGGAAAGGTTGGAAAACGTCACAGAATTCTGGGGATAATCCAATGTCGAGAGTTCAGGTGATGCATAATCTAAACTCCTAGTATCCCCCTTAATGGCACCTATAACGGTCCCCTATATGATCCCCTATATAACCACTTTTAGGAGTTTAGACTATAGCTCAGGTGGCAATCCAGGATTCCAAGGTGGAGGTAAGAAGCCGGGGCCTGACTCATAGTGACTAAAGCACCCCCAAAAAATGAAATAGTAACTACTCTTTTTCATACATTATATAGGGAATAACGGAAAGAACATGGAAACTATTCTATTTTCATAGGTTATATGGGGAGTAAGGGGGAAAGAAGATGGAAACCACTATATTTTGTAGGATATATCAGGAATCATGGAAGGAAAAAGGAAAATACTATGTTTAAAGGTTCGCAAAGAAGAGGGAAACAACTGTATTTTCAAGGTGATTTAAGGACGTGGGAAAGAACATTGAAACTACAAGAAATGTAAATTAATGTGTGGACTCCTCATGTGAGGACACCGCCACAGAAATCTTCTGCTTCTTTTGAGCCCAAACTCTCATGAATCGCATATAACCTGGACACACTCCTGCGAGTTCCCCATACAATGAACCTGGGTGCACGCCCGAAATCTTTTCCATACCCTGTACCCCTAAATCCTGAGCCATGAAAACCTCCACTGTTACAAGCCGAAGCCAAACTACACATCTTCCCTCTACCTTACTGGGGCTTTGTAGGGAAGAAGGGAATATGTTACACAGGAATTATATTCCACTTTCCCTAGTAACCCTAAACTGTAAACCCTATATGTTCCCTGTATGTCCCCTGTATGTCCCCTATGTGAGCCCTAAATAAGGCCTGTAATCTTCCCTAGGCCCGCCTCCACTAGCTCCCCACGCTTCGCAAGGACTAAAGCCAACTTTTCGAGGCTCATCAGGGTGTCCTTACGGACAAGGTAAGGTTTAGGGTTTGTGGGCATGCTAGGGTTTAGGGTTTAGAGGGTTCAAGGGTTCAAGTGTTTTGGCTTTTGGGTTTGGAAATTTTGGGTCAGGGCTTCGAGCAATCTGAAGATTCTTGGGACGCGTCACGGTCCTAAATGGACTGTTGCGGTCCCTGTGTGGCGCTTAAAGTACAGTTGTTGAGAGCCTTCTGTGCAGCATGATTTCGGCTCTAAGATTTGAGATGTCGAACTCATAGTCCCCCTTGAGTAGATGGAATATGGTTTTGGGTATGTTGCAATAAGATCCCCATATACCCCATATTCTATCTACTAAAGGGGGACTATACACAAACTGTTATAAGGATCAGACAAGGGCTGGATTGTGCGGCAGGTTCTCCGCACTGGTCAGCTTTATGTTGCGGACAGGAGCTGCCGACAACCACCCTCCGAACATGGTAAACCCCAAACCCTGAAATTGGAGTTTCACAAAATTATTGGGGCCCCTTTTTTGGGGGTCCCCCTATTTAGGGAAACTACCAAATCATGTTAATCGTGTTGTGTGTGCGCTATGCAGTCTTGGTACGCAGAACAGCAGCTTAGTCCTCATGACTAATTTTCCTTGCTCGGGGAGGGGAGAGTAAAAGCACAGCATCCGAACCACCTGGAAAACCTCAGCCCTAAACCGCCACAAAGAGCCCTAGGCCCTGAACCCTAGACCCTAAACCATAAGGGCCCTGACAGGCGTGGTTTGGAAAATAGCTGCTGGCCTTTCTTGAAGCTGATAGGTAGTTCCCAAACTTAGGGTTTAGGGTTTAGGGTTTTGGTACCCCTAAATATAACTGAAAGGGGCTGATGATTTTGAGAACAACCCTTATGCGCCATTGAGAAGGGCTCTCTTTTCTCGCAGGCTTGAAGTGCGACAAGGGTAGAAAGAAACAAATCCCCTGCATTGCAATGTGAACCTTGTTTTTTACATCATTGCAAGACGCGATTCGCGCGGGGACTATGCTCACGAACCCTTCTGAGATTCTGATATTTGCCATGGCCAACTCGTAGCGACAAATCCATTCTTGCAGTCATTGTTCAAATGGATCGCAATGTGACATGTATGTTATTCTAACCTCTCATTCCCAAGATTATCGCTGGGAACTCAATGAATTTGCTGACCAGGATAAACCCTAGAATCCCAAAGCACGACATAGAGGGAGTAGAAGCAACTTCCAACATTGCTCCAAGCAGCTGTGTGCATCGGCCCTTGCACGTAGTATCTGGCCTGGATGGTGGCTAGCTAGCTGAGTGTTGCTGAGACCCTCGCAGGCATTCCCTAAGAACCTCAAGCAGCAAACTGAACCCTAAACCCTAAGCCCTAAACCGTATGTATCCCCTATATGTTAACTATATATCCGCTGCATATCACCTATATCTCCTTTATTTATCCCCTATATAACCCCTATATATCCCCGATATTACCCTATATCCCCCATATGACCCCTATATATCCCCTACATATCCCTTGTGTATCCCCTATACGTCCCTTTATAAGCCCCATAATCCGCTGATGTGGCTGCAGATGTTGGCCGTCATCCTTGTTACCTTCAGCCTTGCCTTAGGGTTTAGAGTTTAGGGTTTAGGGTTTAGGGCTTAAGGCTTAGAGTTTAGGGTTTAGGCCGTAGGGTTTAAGGTTTAAGGTTTAGTGACAGAAGATCCGTAGTAACTGTAGGCCAGGACATGACAGTTCAACCAGCTGGTTCACAACAATGTACAAGGCTTGCAACCTGTTGGGGCTACCAAGGGTGAACTCAACTTGAACCAGGTAACATCCTATAGCGCTTCACAATTTCTATCACTTTGAATGAAACTGGTGCTTGATAACGTGCCCAGCTAGTTCAAGAACTGGAAGTAGTGGCCCATCAATTGATCTGTAAGAGGGACCTTGCCATCCCTCTATCCGTGGAGTCCTCCAAAATATCAATCTTGGCATCTGAAGAAAGGGGAGGCTGCTGGCGGGGGCACGGAAGAAGTCTCATGAAATTCGAGAATGATCACCATACAGGAACAAATCATGAAACTGGTACTCGTCATGTCGCAGAAGGAGATGGTTCCCCGTCATCTTACTGGTCAGTAGTAGTGAATACGGAAATATACGATTTGGTATTCTATACGTATTCGTTTCCCTTATTCCCTACTAAGAACAAGTGAGCTATTTGAACTCTGGCTCACAATTCTAAGCAAGAAATACGGTTGGGGATTATCCAGGCACTAGTCCCGGCATCAGGGATCCATCCCCATTAAGGACTCTAGACCCCAAAAAAACCGGTTACTGCTGCTCTTTGTTAGCTTTCCAAAATAGGGGGACCCCAATATAGAACCCAAAACACTATAATCCATATTATGGGGATCCCCAAATATGGACTCCTAGTTTTGGGCAATCCTAATCCCTATACATGACATAATTCCAGCTTCCATTTGTCCATTTTCTTTTCCATTTGATTCTCCATTTTTACTGGGGAGATATCCCTGTACATAACCCTTACGATCCCTGAAAACTCTGTAAGGGCTGATAGCTCATGCCATGTGCATCATCTCGCCCCAGGCCTCATAGACCCGTTTTCGGGCGATTCGGGCCTGTTGGCCGCAGAATTACTATTTTAAGGGATTAAAAATTGCTAGGGCTGCATAGGGTGGGGGGGATACCAACCAATTGCCCTTAGATAAACCTCATTTTGAGGCTCCGGGGGGACAGCTCAAAATTCCTTAGGGTCTTTGAAGATCCAGAATTAGGCGAGACTTTCTATAAACATTGGGACCGGCTATAGACCCCAGTATACAGTCAGCCTCATTTTGTGGACTGTCCAACATGGACCCAAAACTTTGGCAAACCCTAAACCCAATATCTCCTTCAAGACCTCTCCGACATAATATCTATTGAACCCCTGTATCACCATTAAAAAGTTGCCGTTGTGGATCTACCAGGTGTAGGGTTCACATGCTTACGAGCAATTTGCCGTAGAAGCGCACCCAGAGGCGTGGTTGGGGAACAATGTCTGGGTCTAATACTTTCTGAGTTTCGAATTGAGGATTTAGGGTTCAGGACCTAGGGTGCCTCACTCGAGGCCAGGGTGAAATGTGCAAAGAAGTTAAATGGCTTCAAAAGACAGGTTGTAGGTTTTTGCTCCATCGCTCCACACCGAGCAGGGCCCAATAAGGACCCAAAAAAGGTTCATCCACATTAACGGGACTCTCGGCTAGGCACCAGCAATTCGTGGAAATCCTGAAAATCACTCTAGGTTCCCCAAAAGCATCCGTATCATCCGTTCCCTTGTTCCGTTGGGAGCGGCTTCCGTGCTGGCCTGGATCTGGCTTCAAAGGCCAACTAATCCCCTTCCCCTACGCAATAATGAAACCCCGCCCCCCTGACGGCAAATGTGCCCATTTTAGCTTCTGTCCATGAGAATGCCATGAACAGGTGCGCCTTATGTTGTCTTAGACCATTCGGGCTTTACCATGAGAATCAGAACAGCTTTCTTACACCCAGGCTTTGATTTCCTATCCCCATACAAAACCTAAACCCTGTACCGCCTCCTCCATGCGCGAGCCCTCCTCTTCCAAAGAGTCTGCCTGGTCATGCAGTAGAACGAAAGGTCCGACGAAAGGTGGAACAGAAAAAGCTACCCACATGTCCCCCGACGTATCGTTCCTATTATCTGGAACACTTGAGGTGGGAGCTTTCAAAATAGGGGGCCCGTATGGAATATGCACACCACACAACATTTGAATGCTAACTCTCGGAACCCAAGAAGTCACCCCCTATTTTTTTGGAAAGCCTGTCCAAAACATCCCTACATAATCCCTATATGACCGCCGTATAGTCCCCCTAAAACCTAGACCCTGAAGGCAGAGGGAAGGTACTTCAGCGATGGCGTATGTCATGCCTTCCCAGGCCATGGGGTTTAGGGTTTAGGATTCAAGGCTTAAGGGTGTAAGCTTTAGGGTTTAGGATTGGAACTCAAGAGCATATATGCTTCCTCTAAAAGACTCTAATCGCACTCTCTACTGGGGGTCTGCGGTACTCGTATTGAAATACCTCTCAAGTCCTTCTCCACACATGAGCCCTTGATGATTAAGCCCCAGGAAACTTGAGTCGGGCCACCGTGATGGAGCACTCTACTCATCCCCCACAAGCCTTTTTAGACTCCCACCTAGACCTATAAAGACAGCCAATTTCGAGACCCTGCCAAGCCACAAGGTACTCCTCCGCTGTAATGGTGTCAGGATGCTCGGCGCCGAGATCCTAAAACAATGACGGATTCGGTTGCGTTTAGGGTTCAGAGCTAAGGCTTGAAAGGCTGTCGTAAGGTGTAGGTTTAGAGTGGGGTGTTTCGTTGGTTGTCACAGGGCCCATGCATTGGAGTACTGTGGGACATTTACCAGAAATCTACTGGAAAAAACCCTAAACCCCAAACCCTAAACCATTAAAAGCCCTACAAACCCTAAACCAAGACTACAATGCAAAATGGCTTCAGGATGCGGAGCAAGATGTAACCAGTCGGCCTATGAAAACCTCAGGTGAAGAAATGGTAAAAATGGCATTCGAGATAGGAATGCTGTGGGAGGTTGGGGTGGGAGGTGGCTTTTATTAGGAGTTTAGAGCTTTCCTCTGTGGATGCTGCAACTCCTCCCTTTACCTTCAAGCCAAGCAAAAACTCCAGAGATTACACCTCAATCGTGTAAGCCATCAGACCTTGCAAAGGCAATCTTGAACCTATGTGGTCCATCTGTACTTGCGTAGCTAATGCACATGGGCTCTCACTAGGGAACGCATGAATGGTCCCTTGGTAAGCCTAATATTGACAGTAGCTCGTGTGAGCAGCAACAGCAAAACAAATTACTGCGTACATGCGACTTGTACGAGCATTTAATTATTGCTCTTCGCAAGTCTGCTTTTGCTGGTCTGGTAGCACAGTATAGCATGCCAACCCGAGGCCAACAGGCTCCTCCATTTAGACTATTCAGATTTCTTCATGCCCGATGATGTCTGTTCTTAACCTCAACCTGACGAATCCGGCGTTGCCATCACGGGGAAACAATACCTGTTACGAAAGACCCATATCATGGTAAATTGGTTTAAGCTCTTCAACAGCAACCGGCTATCCGGAGCTCTAAACCCTAACTGGCCCTTACTCCTGCAAACCCTAAACCCTCCTAAGCCCTAACCTCCATCTGCACCCCCGCTTACCGCCCCCTCCCCAGACAAGCCCTTAATACGCCCCAATTAAACCTTGTTTGGGGTCTACTTTGGGGAGGGGGAGTGAGAGGGAGGGAGTATAGGACTCCATGACCTTCTCCGGAGCCTTCTTGAAGCGCATGTGTACCTCGCGGCAGAGACCCTCGGCTTCTCTGAACTGGCCCCGCGCCTGAGCATCAGCAATTTAGGGTTTAGGGTTTATGATTCAATCCCATCTTCTTCTGCACACCACATTGAGCTTTAGACAAGCTCAAGTCAAAAGCTGTTTTCAACCATGGCTGATGCAAATTTGGAGCGAACCCAGACATGGTACGACTAGGGAATTTGGGGTGTCAAAATGAGGGTCCCTGTACGGCCCTTGGAGGTTGGTCCCAGAAATCATTAAGGAATGAACCTTACAATAGACCTAGCAGTCTATATATTGGCATCTTGGGCAAAGGTAGGTTTCAAACTGAAGGAGCGCAACGCTTTCTGGATAGATTTGCTCAGAGTCACGTTATCCTGCCCAGAAAACCTGACATGTAGCAAAAGTATCTTTGGCAGTCTCCCAAAATAGGGGGATCCCAATCTAGACCCCGATAGATAAAATCCGTAAAATTGGGAACCCCCAAAAAATGCATCTGTTTCCAAAGTGATTCCGCACGGAATACGAATTGACAACAAGTCCTTCCAACCTTACACTGACCAAATGACTCCGACAGTAAATCAAAAAGGAGCAATGTGCGCCCCAGCTGCCCGCAGCACGGCCGAGAAATGGAGCACACTTCGAAGCGTGTCTGGATGGTGGCCACCCAGCTTACTCCTGGCCCACGGTGAGATAAGACTTACATCATGTGCAGCAAGCGAAACACCAAAAATGAATGACTCATACTGCTGGCAAAGAAACGTGGACGACCCTCGATACAGCTAGCTCCTTCTAGTTCCTGTACAGGAAATAGAAAAGCATAGGTCGCTGCCTATGGCGGCGGAATTCTTCGCATTGTGGAAATGAGTATCATTACCCTCCTGAAACTACTCTACTGAATTCTTCTTCTCTTCTGACCGCCATTATGAGGTTTCATGGTGAGGGTTGTAACTCATGCTCATGCAATCCATAGCACACTTGACCCTCTCGCGAGCCGGAATGAGACTCAGCCCTAAACCCTAAATAGTAGTTTCCATCGTCTTTTCTATTATCCTTAAGCCCTATATAACCCCAATATACCATGTGGTAGAATCCGTTTTCTTTTTCCAGTATCCCAATATAACCCCAATATAGCCCTAATATCACCCCAATGGGTACCTATACTTGTTACATATAATCCCTAAATAACCCTAATATACTATAGTTTCTTCCATTTTCTTTTCTGTTCTCCCAAAATAACGCCTGACATTACCCAGATGGGTAACTTATTACATATAATCCCCTATATAACCCCTGTAATGTATTGATTCCATCCGCGTTTCCATCATTACATACAATCCCCGATATAATCTCTATAATGTAGTAGATCCCATTTTCTCTTCCATTATCCCCATATAACCCCAACCCTAAACCCTAAACCCTAAGTAGTAGCTTCCATTTTCGTTTCCATTATCCCATGTGGACCAATGGCCTGAAGCCCTCCAGGGCTTTCCGGGCCAGGGGCTCAGCGTCGTCAAACTTCCCAAGAACCTGAAGCAGGCCAAGGGGAGGTTAGGGGTTTAGGGTCTACTTGGACGGTCAGGGGATTTAGTAAGTGGCTTCATAACGCCTATAACCCATATAGTTATCCTAATTATCCCCATTATTAATCCACTTACTAAGTCCCCCTGACCCTCCAAACCTAAACCCTAAACCTTAAACCCTAAACCCTAAACAGTAGTTTCCATTTTATTTTCCATTATCCCTATATAACCCTAATATTACTAAGTCCCCCTGACCCTCCAAGTAACTCGTCGTGGCAATAGCAAGGCTATAGAAATGCCGGTGTCACTATGAATGTAAGTTGTATCAGAAGCACTAGTCAGGGAAGACACCCAAAATGCGCTCTCCCCAAAAGGTCCCCATGTTCCCAAGATCCGGTCGCAAATCTCCTCTGCAGCCCTAATTACACCTTCAGAACGGTTGAGGTCCACTGTTGCTTGAGGAAACCTCCCAGAGCTTCAGGCCACTGGGCGAGCAGCTGATGCAGGAAGTCGTGCACCAAGGGGTCTGTGTTTGGGTTCCTTCCTCTAAGAAGTTCAGGTTCGTAAGGTGTACGTTGCATGCCTCAGGCAGCCCACACTTTGCGAACTGCACTTGGGGGCATCTTAACGACTAAAACTATGCTTATATGCGCTATGCATGCACTAAAGCGATAACAGACTTCAGGCATCAGAAGCTGTTCGGAGATGCTGCGGCTGCTTATGTGATGCCGAAGGCTGATGCTGCCTCCCCAGTATCGCAATCATTACGACCGCCAGCACCACGATGACTACTATCCCCACCACCGCGCACAGCAGGAGCCTACGTCAACCACCACAACCATTACAACCATCACAGCTATCACTACCACCACCAATAGCACGGCAGGGCCACTGCCGCTGATCCTCCTTGCGCTTCTGCTGTTCCGATGACACCAACGTTCAGTATATCTACTCTTCATGATGAAGGAAGAGCATCTACTGAAAGAGTCTGAAACCTTTTTTTTCTGCGGGGTGGGTGTGCCGTCTCAAACATAGCGCGAGCAAAGCAGACAATTGCGGAGCCCCAGGTGGATGCTAAGCAGTTTTACGTTTTTTTTTGCAAATGCAGGGACGCGCTAGGCTTGATAAGTGCTTCAAGGTACGGGGTGGCTTATAAGCTATGGCAACATTCTATAACGATTGAATTGCTCTGCCATCCCTTTTGTTGCACAAGTGCGAAGACCTGCCCATAAAATCTCGTCTCTCGACAACCAAGTGACTTCAAGAACCTTGGGTGGACTCCTGGTAATACACTATGTCAATTGTTCAGGGCATTGATTGGTAAAAAAAACTGTTCATAATCTTCATGAAGCTGTGCCTGAGCTGAAATTGGCAGAGGAGCCTGTGCCGCCCAAACTTGGACCAAAAGTAGGGATCCATTCCCTCAGCCTTATTCCCTACTCAGCCAGGCTCAGCGGTGGATCTTCTTTTGGAAACCTTCCGACACTCAAAACAGGACTGCTTCAACCACATCACACGAGAGTGGTGTGGCTTTAAGAACGGCAGTGGGATGAACAATCTAGCTAGGTGCCGGGAGTCACATCGATAGAGGTACGCATGCAAACAATAATAAATATCATTGTTGCTCAATGATGTTGCTTCATGCATGTGGAAGAGCGCTATTCAATCCAATGGGCTTGTCCACTACCCGCTGAGG